AATTCAGTTTATCATCTACAAAAGATGCTCTGAGAGGGGAACTCTTTTGATGAAGAGAATTGGAAAATCGCATCCATCAGTCACTGGTCCCTTGACGTGGTATTCTTATTACACTGTTGCTCAAACTTCAGAACAAACTTGGATCCAGTTTTCTCCCTGAGTGAACATACAAAAAAACACAGCCATTTGTTTCAAACCGATGTTGTTGTTTTTTTATTCTTACTATTTATTTATGCTTTTTTTTCTGCTTTTCAAGTTTCATGTTACAACAACATGGCCAAATTGATTTGCTTCATAGCTGCTGTTAAAAAAAAGTTGATGCTCTAAACAGTAGGGGGCGCAAGAGCGGATATGTCAGCCTTAATCCACTGAGTATGGCGTGAGTATAACTGTTGAGAATGTAAAGACATAACTGTGTCAACTCTGTGTCCAGATGTGCACAAAATAACACTCTATTCTAGACAGAACTACGCATGTTCACATGAAAGAATTTTACAAAAGGGAAGACTTTAAACATGTGATTCCTTTCCCGACTGCATCCCCCAAGTAAATCTAAAAGCCTCAGAAGTGCCTCAATCTTCCTGAAATCATGCATGGTTGAACATTTGAAATGAGCTCGCACATCACCCCCAGGCACTGATTCAGACTTGATTGGGGCAAGGCAAGCTGCAAGTGCTTATTTATACAGCTACGTCATTTGGAGGTTGTCCAAAGGGAGGAAGGAGACTGAAAAGATTACAGAGGAGAAACTACAGAGTGAGAATTTCATTAACCACATTCCATTAATTTAATAAGTTGATTCCAGGCTCATCAACAAGTTGTCTGGTGCACATACAGTGTGTATGGCATGTGTTAAAGAAGCTGACTAGATAGGTTAGATGTTTGAGAAGTAGGGGGAAAAAATCAAAGGACTCCACCAACAATCTATATAATTATCATCATCTGCTGCTTTTCCTCCCTGGCAAAGAAACACTCCATCCATTTGTAGCAATCGCCCGGGGGAACGTTACATCAAAACTAATCATAACGATTAAAATCAGCTTCTCTGCGAGAGGGAGGCAATAGGCAAGTTGGAGGCAGGAGGAGTGAGGGTGTTGTAAATGCAGAAAAAAAAAAAAAAAAAAGATTTCTATATTTGATTTTATAAAAACATAAACTCAACAAAGACTGAGGAACTGCTGCTGTGATCTCTTCCTTTGCTCGGAGTTTTATTCTGAAGATTGGTTTAGACTGGGGCAGAGACATGAGCTAATTGTATCCTGATCTTTGCCTTGAGGGGTTTCGGAGCCCTGGAGCAAGTATTCTCTGTATTTTGTTCTGTCTACCTTAGCCAAGCTATTGCATTTCTCACTGGTGTAGGAAGAGAAGCAGATCGTGGGCCAAATCGGAGGGAAAAGGTGCATAAAAAAGATACTTTATGCCGCTCTATGTTTCAGGTAAGCGGAGATTTATTTGGTTTGCTATTATTTCCGTGGCTGGATGGACTGGGACATTGAGGCGCAGCAGCTTTTACGCATGTGCCAAGCGATTCGAGCGGTACAGTTCTTAAAAAATATTTAACCACTTCCTGGCTATTGTTCCGTAGTTACTGTACAAATGTATACGCGTGGCTACAATATACGAGGCTTTGGTACATCTGGTCTAAACGAACAGCGGATTAGACTGCGATCTTGTCGAGCAAACACTCTACTTGTCCACCGTGTGAATTCGCTCCTGGCGCGTTTCAGCTCCGAACACATCACCGTGTCCGTGTCGCTGTTGCTTTTATATAACTTGCTCATAACTTACTCAGACCTCCGTTTTGTCGTTTCAATGAAGACTTTTTGAAGTCGGGTTTTTGTCGTGAAATAGTTCTATTTCCTGGCTGCCCCAGATCTTCTAATGAAAGACGCCATTGTGGAGTAATTTTGCCGCAGGCGTTTTCGTGTATTCTGTAAGACAGGGTGTACCTTTTACTCACGTCAATGCAGAATCTGTGATTCATTCTTTAATATGAGCCGTTGCCGTGTTAAGAGAATCATATTTATGTAAACGAAGACAAAGATAGGAGCGAATTTTGTCCTCTCCTGGCTCTCTGACCGCGCCGTGCGTAATCAACTCCAGAGTCCGAATGCGAATCGGCAAATGTAGTTTACTAAGTGATAATAGGAACCCATTCTGCGTATAGGACCATGTATTGTTTAAATAAATATCTACTAATGCTCATAAAGTTTATACTTTACACTAATTTTTCTTTTACACCCTGAACAAAAAACAGATTTGATACTTAAATATTCCTCACTGCACTGCAGGGAGGAGGAGACTTTAAATGACATTTATTAAATGTAACATTATAAACAAAACCCTCTAAGTTCTGGTCACCTGTACTGAAAGCCAATACTCGGTTTCACCAGTTTCAGAGGACGCATGAATAAACAGAACGAGACCGAGATGTTGTCAGGACTGAACACTTGATGGCGCTGTACTAACAAAACCACACTACTTCACTGTACATACAGCATCTGTACATCTGTTTCTCAGTCAAATTAGACGTAACCAACAGATAGAAAACAAATATCTAAAAGGCAACTCAGTTACCCCCCAATACATCTGTCAGACTACATCATCAGTTCCAGTTTAGAGGTGCTTTACTTGCTAAATTGGAACTCCATGGAGTTATTATATTTCATATTTTGGCTGTGCCACTCCTGTGCTCTGGGAAAGTTTGGTATTTGCCAGTGAACATGCACCACTGTCTCCAGTAGCCTGCAGCAACCCAGCACTGATCACACTTCTTCGTCTGTGATGTCATGCTGATGTGCTGCTCTACAAAGAATAATGTTGAAGTAGGTACTTGTTATAATACTCAGGGAATAATTATGTGTTTCTGATTGCTAAAAAAAAACTGCTATGAAATGAAACAGGCCTGGGTGTAAAATATGAAACTCTGTGTCAGTTCAGATTGCCTTTAAGTCATTGTTAGCGGGGCTTGAGTTCTGTAACATTGCTGATTCTGGATTCTCAACCACTGATTGGATAACCCTGATCTGGAGGTTAAAAAGTTTTTTATCCAGAAAATCAAATTTCTTCTAGCTCTCAAGCAGGTCAGCGAGGTCTCTTTGCTCTGGTAACTTTTTATCTGCAACCTCTTCATCCGTTCACTGAAGTATTTTTTGTATTTGTCACCACAAACTTACAAAGCTCCTGCTGCTACTGAGAAATATGCTTTTAAGAAATACAAGTCAGTTTGGAGTTGTGACTTGTGAGGTTGGTATGATGCAAACCACAGACAACATTATCTCTCTACTCATCAAACAAACACACACACACACACACACACACACACACACAATTTTATTGCTTGGGAGCTGTGAGCTTATAATGCCTAATGTCCATTTTTAAAAACACAAAGTCATGCACACCTGACCAGGCAACCAGCCTACAATATTTACTCAGGTCATTCTGTTAGAGCAGTCTTTCTACCTGTTATTTTTCTGCCTTTACAGCCGGCAGTGAAGTTAACCCAAAGTCTGTAGTTGTCTATGTGTGGACATTTGAAACAAATGGCCGTGGGCAACAAAGCAGAGACAACCCATCCAGATTATGTAAATACCAGTCTGCCTGCCTTGAACTGAATGTTAATGCTCTGATCTGAAATGCTAATTGTGTCTTGTGCGATATGTTGAAACACTGAAGAGCTGCATTGTGGGATGGAAAATTGAAAGCTAGTTTGTTGCTGATGTCGATCCCAACAGGCCCTTTGATTACAACAGACAGGTTGCTTGCTAAGTTTTTTGGAGTATTTGTGGGTGAGCTTACTGCATTAGCTTACTGTAAACACAGCCTTTATGTTTGTTCCTTGAGATGTAAAGAAGATGTTAAAATGATGATTTTGCATAAAAGGCTTGAAAGACTCGAGACCAGTGATGGAAAACAAGAGGAGAAACTGGAGCAGCCCTAGTACTCCAGGCTTTGATGCACTGTGCCTGTTTTAGATTTGTTTGTGCATATTGTGGTGCAACAAGATTACACGAGCTGGGTAAACGAACAAATTCCCTAAACACATACGTTTCGACTTGTTTCACAAAGGCTGGAAAGTTTGGGAACACATCTACAAACACAGCCGCATGGGAGACTATTGTAGCACTGTGCCAAATTCAAAATGGCAACAGGTAGGAAAAGTGTACTCATGTGGAAGGTCTGCTGTGCACATCTGGAGCTGATGGCTGACACATGAGGATCAATGATCAGGCCACCATCACACGCTTACTGATGGTCTGTGAGGATGTGTGACCTTTGAACTGTCCTTGAGATGAAAGCGTAAATAGACAGAAATGCCATGTGGACCATCAGTCCGACAAAAGGTCCAAATGTAGGATTACACTTACTTCGAACAAGTCAGAGTGATTTTGTGATATAAGAGCTCATTCCCACAACCCGCTACCCTCTTCCACCTCCCACCCACCCAACCACCCGTTCCCTTTCACTCTCTCTTCTCTCTCTCCTGCAATTTTCCATAATGCCTTACAGATTTTACACTCAATCCACCTTTGCGATGACAAGGCTTTGAGGAAATCCAATTCCACCAAGCTGTTTTCAGAACTTACTCTCCACAGGCACACAGTCGCTCTCACACTCACTCAAACACACACACACACACACACACACACACACACACACACACACACACACCACCATCTCCACAAATTAGTCAGGGAACAAATTACCTGCATTCTGAGTGTGATCCCACGCACTTTGCCGGCTGCCTTACACAGGTCCCCTTTTGAAGAGCAGCCATGTGATTTCTCTCTCTTTTGCCCTGCAGGCCCCTTTGCCTTCTGCGAGGGATTCTGGAGTTGAATTTTAAAACTATGTATGGCTGCTGCCTGCGCTTATCAGCGCGTGCACAAGCGGCATGCAAATCAGACCAGGATCACACACCGCATTGGAGGCCTACACTCAAAGGCAAGCTTAATTGCTAATTGGGTATCTAGGTGTGAAACTCACACTGCCAATGAGAAACAGGAATGTGGATGTTTTAAGGCCAGTGGTTGAACTAATTAATTTTAATCTGAATGTTATTAAAATTTGTGGATTCCCTGCATTTTCTATGAAAAAAAAAACAGCCCAGGAGAGTGCTGTGGCAGTACTTTTAACAGCAATTGGACATGTTGTGGTCTGGTTTTATACTCCATGAAGTCATTAGTGTGGTGGTTTTGCAATGCCGATGTGGTCATCGGAGGTGGTGTTTACACACTGCAGTCATCATACAGTAACTCAGATATTTGTCAGGAATATAGCCAACAAAAAACTGATCAAGGAGATATTTAATTTGTTATTGTCTTCCCTCAGGGACAGACTGCTACTTTGGAAGGGATGTGAAGTAGTTCTTGAGCTCTGATGTCCCTTTGTGCACATAAAGGGCACTTAAGTTATTCATATTTTGACCAATTGAGGAAAATGCATTTCGACACTGCATCTGAGCAACTGAAAATGCTAGTAGTGGTTGCTTTTGTGTGACTGGAAAGATCATCATCAGTCAGGTGCTTATGAGTGATGTGTGTGTTTGTGGGTGGAGGGTGTTAAAGGGCCATTTTTGTCCAGGTGGATGAGTGGGTTGGTCACCGTTTGCGGTTCTTTCACCGTACTTTGGACTTTGTGGGTCTGTGGTGTTAAAGGGGCATTAGACCTACTGCTCAAAACCGCTGTTGAACAATGGGCAGCGACACCAGGAGGAGAAAGACTGTTCGAAAAGGGCAAAGGCCAAGCTGTGACAGGTCCACATGTGCCCGTCACATAACCAGACGATCGGTTTTTCTTTTTTTTTTTTGGTTAGACAGGTTTTGTTTTATTCTGAAAATGCGACACAGATACCTGCCTCTGAAACAGCGACAGCCCAAAAGAGCCGCAGGCGCTACAATGCTAATGTTGTCGGGGGCTTTGACTTCTCCCAGCCATTGCAAAGAAGCTGCTCCGTGTGACAGCCACGGCGCCGCTCTTCCCCCGGTGTTCACTACCCCAGCTTTTCACGCCTCTTCACGATTTGGCCACGAAGTGTCTTGAGGGGGCAAAAAAAAAAAAAACGACCGCGTCCTATCTGTTAACCTTAAAGTGCGCGTTGTATAATGGACGAAACGGACATCATGGACTTAACGCATCAGAAAGCGAGAAAGCGACCGCGTCCAATCAGTTCCGTGGATGACTCCGTGCATGCTTCCCTCAAACGGCTCCCGATCCGAGCAGCGGAGTGCAGGGAGCCCTCACTCATGTTCGCAGTCAGAGGGGAGCCTGTTCCCGCAGCATCTCTTAAGCAAAATGACCATTCGGTGACTTCCTCTCCAACCACAGTGATGCCGGCGCAGGTAAACGCGTAAAGTCCGATGTTGTGTGGTAGAAAGAAAAAATAAAAGAGGAGACATTACTGTAAGAACTGTCTGTCTGGGGTCGAACTGTCACTTTTGCTAGATGAGCGAGGCACTTGTGTTTTATTGTATGCAGTGTGTGAATACATTGTCTTCCTGCTGTCCTTAAATGTGGAGTGCGCACTATTGTCACGTTATTGGAACATCACGCACGCACTCTGTTGCTGCTTTAATTTGCTGTTAAACCTGTTTGAATCCTTTTCAGAAGATGTTTATATATGTTTATATATATATATATATATATATATATATATATATATATATAACTGTATTTTAACCCTCAGTGATTGAGATCTTGACACTAGTATTTTCTCCCATCTTCACTCAGGGTGTGAAACTTTTGTGGGGTATGAAGTAATTTTCTTCTGAGAGCTTAACAGAAATTGTCTGCTAATGGTGTTTGTAGGTTAACAGAAGACAATTTCTCCAAATCCTATTACAGTATTCAAATCAAGAGTCATTATTGCTCATTTCCAAGACTATGAGATTGATGCTCCAAATTAATTTGGTTTTGGAGATTATGGCCCACAGGAGTGGATGCCTGTGGATTGTGGCAACATTCAGGTCAAGGTCAGGCTGCTCTAACTTGCAGAGAAGAAAATCTTTCCCTTTCACTCCTGACTGTGGAATTGTGTTATGTTGCAGAAATATTAAGATAGTTGTGTTTAAGGACTTAAATTAAAATGTTCTTAACCTTAACTATCCCCCGTGGTTTAATGGTGTATTTTTCATCTTTAATAGCACATCAAGATCGGCAGAAGAAAAACAGAATTGAATACTGATCTTCCTATAAGTCTCTCCGACCTGTGCCCTAATATTTTCTTGTGTTTAACAGGATAATCGCTCCAGCATGTCCAGGCCCATGATCACACGGTCACCGGTGTCTCCCTTGAGTAACCAGGGCATCCCAACACCTGCACAGCTCACCAAGTCCAATGCCCCTGTGCATATTGATGTGGGCGGACACATGTACACCAGCAGTCTGGCCACCTTAACAAAATTCCCAGAATCCCGGTGAGTCCATTCTACCATTCATCTGTATTAAGTGTTTGATGGAGATAAAGTTCGCCTTTTTTTGGCCGTGTGTGTGTCTTGTATTTGTCTTAAAACAAGCAAGAAGATTCAGTGTCGTATAGGGAGTATATTTCTGTTCAAGCCAGATGTGTTTATCAGCATCAGAATGTCATCCTGTTTAATGTTTAATGTCATCCTGTGACATTAAACAGTCAAATGTCACATCTCATCAAATCACAAAACAATTTCACGGATGCACTTGGCGGAGAGAAACTGCATATATGAAATGTTTACTCGTTTTATCCCAAAAAATCTGCAGTATCAGTTGCTTTTGGGTTTAGAAGGTGTTATCACAAAATGTTTCCTTGTGAAATGAAGCCCACAGTTATTTTGAGCAGTAAACAATTTGTAGGAGCTTCAAGTACCGAATGCAGTGCACAGACAAAAGCAACTTGGTTATTCTGACAGATGTCACAGCAGCAGTAAAGGGCCAAAGGGCATGGGGCCATCTGGAGGCTGGGAGGCCGCGCTGTCGCTCCAAGCCCGGGCCTGAGGGTGACTGGCACCCAGCCTCAGGCAACCTACTACCAGCTGGCCCTGACCTTTTCAGACCACCTCTGCTTTTAATCTTTTTCTTTCTTCTTGTCTTACTTCATGCTTGATGTGTGCGTTGAGCTCAGTAATGTGTGCATGTCTCTGCGAAGGTGTGAAAGACATTTCAGAGCTTTGAGAAAATTAGTGAGTCACATCCCTTTGCACATGCTCTTGTTTTACTGTATCATTTCTGCCTCTCTCTATCTTTTTTCTATCCCTTGTCTCCCACTATTCTAGGTGCAAGAAACAGAAGCATTAGCTCAAGAGTAGTATATAGATAATGAACTGAATAGGAACTTTTGCATGCATAAATCAAGAAATGCAAGATTGTTAATATTGACATGTTGTCCCCCATGCCTCCTTCCTCCCCTCCCTTTCTGCCAAACCCACCACCCTCCCCTCTCTGTGGGTAGAATTGGTCGTCTCTTTGATGGCACAGAGCCTATAGTCCTGGACAGCCTGAAGCAGCACTACTTCATTGACAGGGATGGACACATGTTCCGCTACATCCTCAACTTCCTCAGGACGTCCAAGCTCCTCATCCCAGACGACTTCAAAGTGAGTGGATGTCCATCCCAGACACTGTAAAGTCCCATCAGCCAGTCAGCAGTCCTACAACTCAGCACACACACAATGAATGCTAAGGCCGTGGAATGCCTTTGGTCACTGGTCCTCCTTGAATTGCGCAAAACGGTTCCCATGATCGAGACCAAATATTAGGGCAAACAAAGCTCGATCATAATGCATTTACTCATCACAAGATGCAATTTGGTCGCCTCCAGCTATTGGTAGCCATAGATTTTTATGAGATATGTAAGGAAAACAATAAGCTTGCATCAAAACAAATAAATAAATCAGCATTGCATGTGCGCCCTGTGTTCCTTTATGTGCCAAGTGTCCATCCAGGGTGAGTCTCACTGTATGTGACACATTAGCATTCCTTCTTTTTTTTTTTAACTCATATGTGTCATTTAGTCAGTAATTACTTAACTTGCCCTGGGAGAAAACAAATAACCGCATTATCTGATGGACTGTCCACAGTGTGACTCAATCATTGGAAAGTATGTCAGCTAAAATAAGCAAAGACAAAAGACAGGCTCAAGTTCAGGGTAAGGCCATGTTCACATTGGGTAGATTTTGAGAGGAGCATGAGAAAACTTGATTGTGGTGCGATTCAGGCCCTGCAGTCCTGCGAGGAAAGGATCTGCTCCTTTACTCCATGCAACCCTGTGTTGCACGTCACACTACATCTCCTCTACTTTGCTATGGTTTATTGCTCGTTCATGTAGAACAGTGATTTTCAAACTTCTTTGTTATTTTTTTTTTTTGTTTGGATCCACATTAGAAAGAAAATCACAGCCTTAAACTGATAAGCTTATTGTGTTTGTTTGGTTATTTTGCTCTCTAGAATAGTATGATGTACTGCATGCTGCATTTAGGCTACCAGCTTCCCCCAGTTCAGTTCAGTCTAACTTTAAAATACAGGGACAGTATCTTTGTACAATATATATAATATATATATATATATATATATATATATAATGTGTTTTTGTGGGGTTGCTTGAGGGAATTCTTGAACTTTATGTAAAAAACAAACTAAAGAACTAAGATTATGGGCTATTGTTAGTATCAGTAAATAAAAACCTTCAAACTAGAATGCATATTCTACACATTAGTTTAATAATACTGAAACAACTCCAAGTATTTTGGAAAGTTTTCTGCTATTTATAATCATTCCATTGCTGACCTCACAAGCCAGCATGAGTCACATAATGTTCTCATTGTTACTTTGTAATTTTATACAGTATGCAACATTTTAATAGTCTGTAAACCTTTAAACCCTTAGAGTGTTTTTGTTTGGTAAATATATCCAGTTATCCACTGTGTTGATATTTAAACTTGGTCAAGCATCAAAAATCACTATTCATATTAGACTACATTGAGATTCCATTAAATGTAATCCTTTTAAAGTATTATTTGGGCATCTTTGCCTTTAATAGATGAGAGACTGTAATGCCCCAAGCTTGTTCTTTAAAGAACATTGGCATTGGCATTTATGATAAGACTTGTTACTTATCCTGGTAAGTTAAAACTTGCATAAAAAGAACCACCACATCAAGCAACACATTTAAAACAACATACAGTATTTGGCATATTTTTCAAATTTCAAATTTTAAATTATTATGGCTGATAATCACTCATTTCTTTTTGCTCTGTCCTAAGATGTCAATGCCCTTTTGTCCCGTCTCCTACAGGACTACAGTCTGCTGTACGAGGAGGCGCGATACTTCCAGCTGCAGCCCATGCTTGCTGAGCTGGAGCGTTGGCGCCAGGACCAGGAACTGAGCCGGGTGTCACGCCCCTGTGAGTGTTTGGTAGTGCGTGTTGCACCTGACCTGGGTGAGAGGATCACGCTCAGCGGTGACAAGGCCCTGATTGAAGATGTGTTTCCGGAAATCGGTGATGTCATGTGCAACTCTGTCAATGCTGGCTGGAACCATGACTCCACACACGTCATCCGCTTCCCACTTAATGGGTACTGCCACCTCAACTCTGTCCAGGTAATGGAAACAGCTGGCTCCTGTGGGTGTATTGTCATTTACACTTGCCATTTTATTCAGCATTCTTCAATAAGTTAGATAAAGTAATGTTCTGCTGTATTTTTCATTCAGTTGTATGCACAGGGAATTGACTGCAGTGCTGATTTGTTCATTCAGCTTCTTCATAGCTGGTGTTATACGGTATACTTTTAGAATTTTACTGATGTCTGACTGCAACATCTTATCTTTTTTAATCTAATCGAATCACAAGAAGAGCCTTGCAGAAAAATGAGTCCTTTGATGACTTCATCAAAGTATCAATTTAACAAGCCATCATTACGCAGGTCTACCAACATCTTTACTTTTCTGTGATCTGACCGGAATAATGATTTCGACTTTGGCTCCGGAGCTAGTACACGGTCAGCTTTAATATCATGCGTCCCTTTGCAGAACTCTTAGTATGGTCCTCACATCTCACCCAGTTGTCCGCTATGTTCCATGCAGATGAGAAACCTTTACAATTAATTTCAAAAGTCCTTTCGATTGTGGGTAGTAGTAGGGGCAGTAAATGGGTTAATGGTGGATTTGAAGCCATTAAGTGAAGGAATGGCTGACACCTTGAAGCGTGGTGGAGAGTCAAATCAATGTGCAAACTGAGGGGAAACTGGCTGACAGCAAGAGGTACTTGTATAGACATACAATGATTTCCCTGAGTATCTTAGCGGGTTGTTGGATCAATGATCAGTTTAAAATAAAAAAAATAAAGGCAAGCAACTCAATATAACACATCAAAATCAGTAGAACACATATTTTGTAAGACTTCTTACCAAATAGTAGTTTGAGTTCTGCAGATCCCCAAGACTCCATTACATTAATACCAGCAATTCTTTGAGGCTGTGCCGGGTGTTCTGGTAGTAGAATGGTAGTCCTATGGGGTTATTTTTGTTGATGAAAGACATCCTTTGCTGTTGTCTTAATCAACACATTTAAGGTGTTAGGAGAGCTGTGATGTCATGGGGAATAAGACTATGACTAGAAGTCCAATTATTATCCAAAGATGGATCTATAAATATGTTTCTGTGAAGAACTAAAGGCCAAGTCTACTCTTAATACTAGCTGTTACATTTATAATACTGGATAATACTGGATTTAATATCATCCTTACTTGGGCATAAAGGGGTTCTAGACAAAACAATACGTGTAAGACTGAAACAAGAAAGCTTAAATTCCTCTTTTATATTCAGCATGTATTTGGCAATATTGTATTTCCCTAATTATATATTGACATTCCACTAATTCATTGATAGTAATATCCCCAGATACACATCAATAAATGAAGGAGGAGAGGCATATTTGAAAAGATTTCACAATGATTTGGACTGTGTCTCCATCTGAGGAAGTCAAATCTCCATCTCCCTCCCAAAAACACACAAACAAACCCGTCTCTGAAGTGTGTGAGTCGTGGAGAGCAAGCAAGAGAGTGAGCATGCTCTCTGGCAGGTTGTCCCCAGGCAGGGCCCATAATCCTGTTTGGTTATTAAAGCACGCCGGCGGTGGATGCTGTATCTGCGGCTAATGGAGGCAGGGCGGGGGTTTTGAGAGAAGGAAGGGGGGCAGAGAGAGCTGCCAGCAGTAGGGGGACCTTTGTAGTTTTGGCGGAGGCTTGGGCCTGGGGGCTGAGGGAGAAATGGGGAGAGGGGGTTTTGCTGAGCAGTCCACACTGAGCCAAGTGGCAGAGAGAAAGCCTCACTGCTCCCTGGGGCCTCTTCGATGGAATGTGATCCTACAGCCCCCCCAGACACGTCTGTAGATGTCTGCAAGGCTGCAAGATCAGGAACAGCTACACACACACAGACATGCACACGTATACACCAGAAAACAATGAAAATGAGGCATGAGGCAAAATGAGAGGCTCTTGGTTTTGTGAAAGTCTTGTGAAAGTCTCATCCAAATTCCCGTCACAGGCCGTATGTTGCTGCAGCTTACTCCCAAAGCTGTTTCCAATGCTAGACTTAGCACTAACTCGGCAGCATACAACTAGAGGAGTTTCAAATGACTCTGTGCTTTCCAGCTTTGCAGTCAACAAAAGGTTAGAGGTTACATTAATGTTTGAGCATTGCAGTGCCTGTGTACTGGTGGACCTCCACGAAAGATGTATCGAGCATCCTTATTAGCAGGTTGATACTTAAAGATATATGAGCCAGCATTGCCTGTCACCAGAGTGCCAATAAAGGATGCTAAGATGCTTTTCCATCTATGATTGATGTATTGCCACTGACATCTTGCTCCTTCTATCCCATTCCTCCTTCCCCAGGTTCTAGAGCGTCTCCAACAGCGTGGCTTTGAGATCGCTGGCTCCTGTGGCGGAGGCGTCGACTCATCCCAATTCAGCGAATACGTCCTGAGGAGGGAACTGAGGAGGACAAGTCAGCGAGGATCCAATTCAAACAGGATAAAGCAAGAGCAGCTGGACTAGAAACCTCCCGAGCAGTAGGAGGTGCTAGACTTTTCTGTGGCAGCCAAACTCTTGATGCTGCAGAGCTCTGTGGACTCTGGTTTTTCTTCGTTTCCTTGTTGATGTTTTTGTTTTCTTAAACTTGAGAACCATCTAGAGAATAAAAATGAGGTGCAACAGGAGATTTTTTTGCCATAAGAAGATACAAGACATTTGATAAGTTTGAGATTGCAAGGACATTTGTGATTGTCTAGCCCCCATAAGCCAATTTAAAAAGGATTTATATACGCTGGATCCCCAAACAAAGTTTGTTTTAAAACTTAGAGCCTACATTAGGTTAAATATGATTTCTGTTATTCCCATATAAATTAATAAGGCTTTTATTGCTGATGTAGTATGTTGCATAGCTTGTCAGCAGTGACTTGATTTTGTTGTCTCACTGGCAAATTGGCTAAGTCTGTTTTTATCCCTTGCTGTAAAAAGGTCACTAATGTGTTGCTTACAGTACAGAATGTCTCAGTTGTCATTAACAGTTAGTTTCAACAAAGCATCTTTTTTCACAATTAACATGATGTTGAATATTGTGATACCAATGAAGTGTTTTTTTGTTTTGTTTTTTTACTTTAATGGACGTTATTATATTGGATTATGCCATAACATATAGTTGACATTTGTATCATCAAAATTAAACATCAAAGACCATTCTATACGCAGTAAAGAAAATAATTTAGTAAATTATTATGTCACACCATTTGCCTCACTGGGGAGTATGAACTACCATCCCCCATGTGCTGCATTGGGAATTATTTAATTGGATCATAATATTCCTCTGAGACAAGACCTGTAAATTTTTTCATTGTATATGTGTTTGTGTTTTTTACATTGAATCTTTTTAAAGCAAATTTGTTGCCTCAGACATGACTGAACAGAATAAAGCTTATTGTACTACCCACTCCAAGATCACTTTTACTTGTAGCAAATATTAATATGAAGTTGGATATAAAGTATTTCTAAGATTACTGACCCACCTACGCTCCCTAGATTTGAGTAAAGAGGAATGTAGCAAAAAATGTGAAATAAATCTCAACTAAAGTTGTCATGGTGTCTGTTTGCCATTTTTCTGTTGCTGTAGAGACTGCTTTCACATTTCTGCCCAGCATTGCAATTCAAGCAGTGGTTAGAAAGTAATTCCTTAGATTTAAAATGACTGCATCTACCTTTTAACATCCTGTAGAAGATTTTACATTATGTAGCATTATATAGCTCTCTACAACCAGAGGTAAAGCTAACTTAACCAAGACAATATTGTACCTTGGAGGATTTATGCTGGTGCATCAGTGACTACATGGTGCATTCTTTACTTAGTTATATTGAATAGAGCCGACTTCTCCACGCAAGTCCTGTCAGTTGTGCTTCCACATATCCCTGCAGGGCCGAAATCCAAAGTGAAATCCCACACGGAGCCCTGTCGTCTTGTCTTCATCCCTTTTGGCAGAATCTCCACTTTCTTTGGCTATCTACGGTTTATGCTATATGTCTCCCTTTCAGGCCTCTTTGCCCTAGATTCCCTTTTGACTGACTGTTTTTCTCATAGGCTAGAGGTGCAACTATGAGTGTTACACAGCAATGCTATGCTCTCCATCATAAAATCAAAATTTCTGTGCCTGTGTAATTACAAAGTATTCATGGCACAGGTATCAAACATAAGTAAGAATTTGCAAACTTAAAGGTCAAGTGTGTAACATTTAGAAGGATTTATTTATCTATATAAATTGAAGAAAATATTCATAACTATATTTTTATTAGTGTTTAATCACCTGAATATAGGAACTACCCTAATTACCTTAGAATGAACGCTGTATGTCTAAAGACACCGCGGGTCACCTTCCATGGAATCGGCCAAACCCAGATATATATCTGAGTTTGTTTAGCTACATGAACCCCAATGGATGGCCATTAAAAATAGTAATTGTTTTTCCTAAAATAAAATGCTGTTAAAGGTGGTGTAAGAAAGAGAGAGAATGAACATGTGTTTAGTTTAAAATTCAGCAGCACTTTTTTGCACCCTGTGTGATTTTTAAGTTTGTTACCTGTGGGGCAGCCTGAGTTTAATGAGACCCTGTCCAGCCCTATCTCTTCTCACTTCCTGGATTCACACTAACTTGAAAAGGAATTAGAGATAGCCTCCTCTCCGGACACAGCCTGTTGGAGAAAAGATGAATGGTATTAAGAAACTGACTTCCAGTCCTTTAGAGGACAGGGGTTTTGAGGAGAATAAAGCAATTTGAGATCCTCCTCTCTTCTGTGGTGTGTCTGTGATCATGTCTCTCTCACTCGCTTTCTCTCTAGTGATTATTTCCAGTCATCAAAAGGCAGAGTAGGCCCTGGAGAAAGTGGCCGTGGCCATCTTTCCCTCACTCCCCAGGCTCTGCTTACTCACCACTAGTGAAGGTCAGTGGATGGACTCATTCACCTCATCTTCAAATCATCAGCCCTCACATTGCTCAGTTCTACAGCACCGTGCAAGCAGTGGCTACTGTTATAATGATTGTCCGAACTAAATACACTTAATAGATGATACTTTGTACTCTGGAGTTAGTCTTATTCTATTTGCAGTCCTTTCTCTTGTTCTGTGTTGATCTGTAGGTAATATTCTGTACTGTAGGTGCCTCCTACCTTTATTGAAAAAGCCTCTTGGCCATTTTATGCCAGCAAGATAATTATAAATGTAACCCGTGGCAAAAAAGCAAAACACAACTCCCACATCTCTCCCTTGCCATTTCTCTCTCTCTCTCTCTCTCTCTCTCTCTCTCTCTCCTCTCTTCTCTCTCTCTCTCTCTTACTCTCTCTCTCTCTCTCCCTCCTTCTCTCTCTCTCTCTCTCTCTCTGTCTTTCTCTCTCCCTCCCCTCCTCCCCCTCCCTAAGCCTCGGGAACTGATTTCAAATTTTCAAAGATATCTCATAGTGAGGCTGTGAGATTGAAGGCTCATAAATACCTTTATTATAATATAATGGCCACATATTTCTAGCAATTATTTCTAGTGGAAAAATTAGTTCATCTGTGTGATGAATGTCTGCACAGTCTTTGGGGCTTCAAATGTTCTTAGATGGACAATTGCTGGTAGAATAATATCTCAAATGGACACTCACTAGTAGAATAATATGTCACAGTGGCTTTGCTTGAGTTAGAGAAATTTGAGTCTTAGTGTGAAGTGGAGCCGGTCTAAAGACAAAAAGTGGAGCTCACACCTGTGCTGATACAGGTTGTGGGCGCAAACTTGTTTGAGAAGAAGGCTACATGCAAAAGAGAAATCCTTGTTACTTTTGTTTCTGCAGTGCCATATTAACACATAATCCTTAAAGTCTTCTATTTTGCAGTAGCCCAAGGCAACTTGTATGAATCAATTTTTAATGTATAACAGTTTTTAACCCAAAAAGCTTCGATAACCTCTATGGTGGTTTTGACAGCTCAGCCATTCAGATGTTTTGGCAGCAGCCCTGTTTCTTGGATAGTAAAGCAACAGTGGAGGTGGATGGTCAGTGATGAAAGCCAACAATAGTCTGTTTTCATTCAAATAGCATGTACTTAATCATTTTCTATAATACTTAGTGTTATTCCTCAAAATGTGTTTTCTAGTATATTTTAAAAGAGTTTTCCGGTGATTTAGTATTGTACTTCCTTAAATTTGGGGGATTTACGATTAAAAAAGAAAGTTTCTGTCAAAATCAATGCAGCAGAACCTGAAACATCCAAATGGGTCAACACTGAATCGTACACTTCCTATTATGTTAACAAGACTAAGCAGTCCTTCCAGAGTTTTTTTGTAATTGTTGCGGGCAAAAATCCTTGATTATGTGACACGTTTCCTTAATAAATGTGATGGAATATGCAGGATATTTATGCAATTTTATGCGATGAAATTGCGGGAACTTGCAAAAACTGCGGTTTGATGAAAAAGAGAAAAAATAGTGATTCCCCCAACACCCTGTTCTCACTAGGCTACTACCTTAATGTAAAGAGTCATTTCTTATTACTTCCTATGATAAGCAAGCATACTACAGCACAGAAAGTGCTGGGAGTATTTAAGTTCTCATCTTGTTTTATTTCAGACCTTAATAAACACATGGCTCAAACTTACAAAATATTGGTGAGTCAAACAAGTTCTGTAGATTTACAAAGGGAATATGCTACAAGTTCTGTAAAAATGAATAAATAAAATATAAAAAAATTAAATGTGTGCTTCCTGTTTTACAGAGGTAGCTATACAAAACAGACGTCTTCTGTTAAAATAAGTGCTTCCAATGCACAAAGTGCAATCTCTTACTGTAACATAAATTTACATACTACTAATATACTTACAACTGTAAGGTTTTCATCGCAGGGTTTGTCCAGCTTTTCGATGATGTTCACGTCGCTTAATTACGTCAGTTCATAACGTTCCCATGGCAACAGGGGAAAATGGCTACTCTTGAGTGAAGTAAACGCAACATTTTTCAACTTTCTGCTAAGATATATGTGACTTTTTTGCAACGAAAATGCTGGGATTATGAAATCATGCAAGCCCCGCATATATTGCGTGGAAATCGGCAATTTATGCGGCGAAAGTGCGGCGTATTTGAAAAAATGCGCCCCCCGCATAAATATGCAGACTTTGGCTGATAATGCATAGAATTATGCGATCGCATAATCACGTTTTTCTGGAGGGACTGACTAAGGGTCTACAGCCATGCTAGCAGCTCTGTGATACTTTTTTCGCTTTGAGATGAATGCTCATGCTCACCATGGTAATGCTAGCATGGGGATGTTTACCATGTTCACCATTTTAGTTTAGCATGTTAGCATGCTAGCATTTGCTACTCAGCACTAAACACAAAGCACAACAGAGGCTGATGGGAATGTCATTAGTTTTGGTCATAAAGCAAAATAATCAGTGAGGGAATCCTTCTGTGGGTACCATGAATTAGAGCCCTGCGCAGGTCTTTTTTCTTAATCCCGCTCTTGCCCGCCTTCTGACTATTCCAGGATTTATTCTCTGGGTGCCATTAATGTTTTTTACAGAATTTTATTTCAATCCACCCTGTTGTTGATAAGATATTATAGACTGGACCAAAGTGGTGGACCAACTGACCAATCGACCGACATTGCCATTGCTGGAGCCATGTTGTTGTAGGTCTCCAACCCAAAACTGTGATTGCTCAAGTGATGTAGCTTGATCAATTTTGTAATACTTGACCAAATTTATAGAGCCACAGAAGACAAAATTCTACTGTCGTGTTAGGCTATGCAGTAGTCTCCATGACTACTAAATTGACTTAGACATGTAGAATCAGTTGAGTGCCCCTTGGATACAAAAGTGAAAGAGAATCAGAAAGGTAATCAACTTAGTTGTTTAAAATAATGCAGTCAGTTAATTAACTATTAAATGTAAATGTTAGCTCTTAATTATGACTAAAAATCCTGAGAGCACTGATTTTGTACAGCATTATATATAATTTTCCTGCACCATGCCGGGCTACACTTGGCTTGCCTTATTTGTCAAAAACAGTAGATTTTACACACCAACCTTCATCAGAACCTCTACTCACCTCATGGTAATTGGGCCCTAATATGTTACAGTGCTCCAAGTGGAAATTTGAGGTAGTGCTCCACAACATGCGCTTTCCATTGTTTATTTATCAGTCAGGCCTTGAGTTATGGTGCGCTTGCAGTGAGGAATTTTAGACCGGACTATGGTCGCTGCAGGCCCCTTGGCATACACTGTACACTGAGAGGGAATCATTTATATTCTACTCCAGAGGTAACAGAAGAACATGAGATTGGGAAACAGCTCAAACACCACTCTGCTTGTGAGGCTTTAGGCGCAGAAAAGTCAAGCTGGTTTTTTTTGTGGGGCTGCAGAGCATATTCAAGCAAGTTATGTTTTTCTTTTCTATTTTTTTAAATAGTTTCTCCAAAAATCTCCTAATAAATATGCTGTGCTCAGTTATACCTTCACGCTCACACATTTTACACTGACTCTCTATGGCTCAGTGGAGGTGTGATGGAATGTTGGCTTTGGTGAAATTTTCAGCAGCAATGAAATCTGACCGGTGAAGC